CCACGAATGCAACACCATTTTTCATGTTAGCAAACCCTGAAATAATATGCATTCATACAAGGCTAGTTCATTTATTGTAGTGATTCATGTGGAGCAAAGGTATTTTGGCGACTCAGTTTAAAGTACTGAGAGAAGTAAAAAGTTTATAATGACTGGATAGGACTGACAAATGCTAATGAAATAATACACAAAGAACTGTATTTCTAAGTATGTTCTCCCGTTGTTAGTCAAGGGACAAACTAGCTCTGTACTCAGCTCTATTCAGGTCAGTCTTTTAGGTATAAATGTAAATATAGAAGTTGAGAGGGCTTTTAACGATAAACACCGCATTCCTACTATTCCTACTTTTACATCAAATGTTTGTCTGCTACATACTGATGGATAAAGTCTTTGAAACGCTCTACACACCTTGTGAGTCGATGTCTTTACTGTCAATAATTTCTGCACAAATCTACTAAATTTTGTCTTATATCCAATTTAGCATCACATTTTATGTCTATTATAATTTGCAAATCTTTCTTGGATAGCACTTTCATTAATGCTAAAAGATAGATATTACTGAAAAAGTTCAGTACTGTAATTGAAAACTGTTCAAGAGTATCACATATATAATTTAGGAGAAAAGCGAAGATTTTGTTGAAAAGAACATTTTTCGATCGAATTTTCTTGTCTTCTAGAAGTTTGGAAGGGGATTTCTACTATATTTATGATGAGGACAAATGGAAAATGACAAGAATTTTAAGAGCAGTTGGTCAAGGAATTCCTTCCCATGTTACATATCGACTCAGCTAAAACTGGGTTTCGAACTTATTTCCATAAGCGTATCCACAAATATAGTGCCAGAAGACAAAAGGAGCAAATGCAAATAAATTAAAGCATGCTGGGAAAATGTGGTGGGTTTCCCAGACATTGCATTTGGTTATTAGGTCGTTATCCGCTGAAAAATTCTTTCGGCTGACTCGTATATCCTGGGTGTATATTGGATTAAGCTATGTGATACGCGAATACAAATTTGAGACATACAGCAAAAGACCAAGACTGGCACACCCCTAGTACTAGTATTTAGATCGGTTTAAACGATGTAGTTGAGGTGCATGTCATGTGTTTCTTCACTCGCTTTCTTCCTGGAGGGAAACCACAAGCGAAGAAGAAAGACAACAAACAATGGTAATATGGTGTACCACAGTTAAGTGTCAGCTGACTGAATATATACTTAGCATCCAGTAAAATGAGCAGTATACAACCTCTACTTTCAAAACTACAAACACTGCTGAATGAGAAACACCACTAACTTGAACTAATTTCGCCAACAAATTCTGGACTCTTAGAAGAAGTAAAGGAAATTAGACGCTGCTAAACTTTAAGACATTAATCCAATATCCAATATATCCAATATCGTTTTTACAAGCTAGTATAAACGAATTTGGTTTCTTTGTGCTCGCCTCTTGATTGTGAGTTAGAGGTTCCTGATCTTCGGTAAACTTCTGCGTAGCTCGTCCCGCCACTCGACTGTCGTAGCTTTGGTTGACTCTAAAAGGAGTAGTGCAGGGATTAATTACATGTGGTTTGTAGTTCGAGGTGTGTTAAGACTGTTACTACTGTGAATGGAGTTGATCCTCTCACCAGTTGGTCCTTCGGTATCGTCATCAACAGAAAAGAGATAATAATAATAATAGATACAATTAGTGAAGTTATTCAGACTAACAGACAGAAGAAGAATAACGAAACGTAACGACGGTTAGTCAACCGGTATATATATACCGGTAATAATGATAATAATAATAAAAGGTGTAGTTAAAGGTGTCAGGAGAGTAAGACGGGAGAGAATGTAAAGAAGTTAAACGACAAGTTTATTTGTCTGCCTTTGAATGGTGTATGCCCTCTGATAAGCTATCCTTCCAGGATTTCCAAGAGGGTGCTTTTACCTACTCAATGGCAGAACACCTTTGTTTGGGTGATTCTGGTCATTTGTTATTTTGTAGGTAGTAGTCAAATCCCCCCTAAGACGACGGTAACTAAGTGTGAATAGGCCTAATTTCTTCAGCCTTTCATCATATGGTTTATTTCGGAGACCAACCACTCCTTTTGTTGCCTGTCGTTGGACTCTTTCCAAGAGGTTGGCGTCTCTTCTAAGCAGTGGGGTTGCAATAATATTACGCACTTCAAGGTGTGGTCTGACGTATGTTTTGTACAATTTTAGAAAGGGCTCAGGTGTGAGTGCATCCAGCTGTCTATGTGTAAAGTGTATGACCGCATATGCCCTCGCTACATTACCCGTGTAATTTACGCTTGTGTCCATTTTCTCTGTTAAAACTAGACCTAAGTCACGTTCCGACGTTGTTCAGGACAAGCTTTCATTGCACAGGGTGTAACTTGCATTCTACAGTCTACAGGTGAGTAACTTCAATACTTTGCACTTTTCAGGTTGAAAGTCATGCCACTGGCCAACGCCGAGTCTTCCAGAAGGTTTCGATCTTCCTACAGCCTATCTGAGTCCTCCTGCCACTTTATCGCCCTCCATATCTTAACCTCGTCAGCGTATAGAAGAGTCGGGCAGCTTAGATGGCATGGTAAGTCATTGATAAAAATCAAGAGCATCTGTGGTCCTAGGATAGAATCCTGCAACACTATGCCAAGATGATCGGACTCGATTGGCCTTAGCGCAAAGTTGACTTTCAGCTAGGTAGTCCTTTAACCATGACAGAAGTGGCTCACCTATGCCTACCTGACTTATTTTGCTTAGGAGAAGAATACGGTGAACAGTGTCAAATGCCTCCTCAAAGTCTAGGAAAACCACATGGACTGAAACATTCATATCCCAGCATGGAATATATTAGACCCATCGAGATATTCCCTGATGTGATCGTCAATAATACTTTCCAGTACTTTTGATACCACTGGGAGTAGAGCTACTGGTCTATAACTAGTGGCATTTTGCCTATCCCAACCCTTGCAGATCGGAGAAAGGATGCTTCTTTTCCATTCCCTTGGCAGTTTCCCCGATTCTATGGAGTGTTGGAACAAGTCGCATAAGGGCCTGCAAAGAGCTTCAGCGCACTGTTTCAGAAGAGATGGTCTGATGTCGTCACAACCTGGGGACTTCCCAGGTGTGAGTCACTTTAGCTTTCTTAGTACAATTGCCGGGTTTATTTCGGGAGTAGCCACCAAGTCTTCCTCCTGTGAAATAGTAGTACCACCATTTCGGTTCTTAACGGTAATACCCACATTGCTGCTTAGCTGTTTGGCGAAGGCTGAAGTGAATGTTTCAGCCATCTCCAGACTAGTGAGATATTGACCGTTTTGGCCTAATAAGGCGCATGCTCCCTGGTTGGTTGGTTTTCATTCCGACATGAATCGATACAAGTTCTTGGGGTTTGCTAGGAGTCTTTTAGCAAGGTTAGTCTGGAATGACCTCCTGACTCTTGCATTGCACCGGTTCCTGAGTTCCAGGCATGCATCATGGTCGATCTCGCATGGCTGAAAGATTACTTAGACGAGAGAGAATTCTGCACCAAAGTCAACCGCATCCGATCATCCTGGCACACCTCGGAATCATGGGGTTCCTCAGTGTTCTATCTTAAGACTGTTGATGTTTTTGATTTTTATCAAGGACCTGCCCTGTCAACTGAACTGCTTTCCGCTTCTTTACGCTGACAACGTAAAGATTTGGAGAGCAATAAATTCACCGTAAGACTCAGACAGATTGTAGGCTGACCTGCAAATTCCGGGAGACTGGGCTCTGGCTAACGGAATGCCTTTCAACCTAAAGAAGTGCAAAGTAGTACAACTTCATTCCGGCAGGTCACAGAGTGTAAATTACACCCTTGGTGGCCAGAACTTGAGTTGTGTGCCATCAGAGCGCGACCTAGGTCTTATTTTAACAGAAAAGCTAGACACCAGTGTAAATTACACGAGGGACGTCGCCAAAGCTCACGCAACTTTACACCTTATTCATAGGCAGCTGGGAGCTCTTACTCCCGAACTATCCTTGCGGTTGTATACGACATACGTGAGGCCACACCCTGCGGTGTATAATATCATTGCTCCTACACTACTCAAAAGGGATGCTAACATTCTAGTCACAGGGGAGACCTCATCACCGTCTACAAAATCTTAAATGACCAGGCCCACGCAAATAAAAGCATCCTGCCATTAAGTGATTATAGGCTACCACGAGTTTACCCGCTTAGGATATCACACTAGAGACCCAAGACTCGAGTGCGTTCACATTTCTTTTCGCTTCGAGTTTGCCATCTCTGGAACGCTTTACCGGCGGCCGTGACCACAGCACCATCTGCAGAGACTTTTTAAGCGGAAGCTAGAAAATCATGCAGAAATGCAAGGTTTGTGTCTCAGCGGGTTATCCTCTTAAAATTTGAAACCACACTGTCAATGGGTAAGTACACAAGCTAAATCCCCACGACCGGTTTTGTCTTCTCTCGCTGTACCGACTACTCTATCTTTTCCTTAGATCACCTTTATTATTTCACTTATTTCAACCTATATTATCTTCACTTCAACCTATTATTATTACTATTCTGCTTTTATGACTTCACCGAATGGCCAGCGGGTGTTAGGTCAAACTCCATTCACGGCAGCAACTCAGTCCTAACATACTGCACACTACAAACCACATCCTGACCAATCCTCGCACCACTCCTCTTGAAGTCTACCAGAGCTAAAGGAGTCGAGTGGCGGGACTTACTACGCAGAAGTTCACCAAAGATCTGGAACCCCTACCTTACAATCAAGAAGCGAGCTCAAAGAAATCACTGGTTTATACTAGCTCGTAATCAGGATATTGGATCTGACTCTTAGATACGCGCCGCGTAAACCAAGCCTTCAATTATCCTAAAAATGTGCGTTCACCTCAAAAAGCTACTGAATGAATTTTTTTTGAACAATATTTGACCGCAAACATAGTGACTAATTTGTTATAACCTATAGATTGTCACAGATTTATTGAATTTCTAGTACACAATTTTAAATTATCACCTGGGATGTCGCTTAACACTGCATATGCAAGTACAATACCAGCAGTATTCAAAATCGTGGAGATGATTATTGATCTTATACTCATCATCCTGGTTGCTGTGTCTCCTGTATATACTATTCCTGGAGCTGGAGGGTGGTTATTTTTTGTAGCGATTTTAACTATGCTGGTTTCTCTGTTCTTCTATCTTATTCACCTTACAAATGCAATTTATAAGTTCGCAGGTCCAATGACACTTGTGGTACGTTTATACAATATCTACATTATTTTAAAAGTGCAATCTATTTTGTTGCTGATTTTAAGAAGAGCATTGCATGGTATTCTCACTCATCATTATTATGTTCCTGGTTTTTTGTTGACTACTAAATCACGTACTTTTTTGATTTAACGACAAATTATGGCATCACATTTTTGTAGCTGCGAAATCAGTTAGCTGACTTCACAGAGGAAGTATCCGCCGTGTAGGAAACATGAGCAGCATCAGAAAAGTACCACGGAAGTAATATCGCTTCACATATTTTCCACCATCTTTTTATGTTATATGTTAATTTTTTGGACTTTATGAGTTAGTTTTATCCTTTCGCTTTCTGTAGTATGTATTTTGTCATTGCTATAATATGTGGAAACTTACAGGCTTATGAGTATAATGGAGAGTTCTTAAACTGTAAACAAAACTTAATATTTACTCATTGTTGTAGCCTACTTATCAGTCTCGCCTTTCATTTTGATGGCTTATGTTTTTCCGCCATAGGCATTTTAGAAGTTTCAATACCGTCTTATAGAAATACTTTTTGTTGTTGACAGTTATTGGATATCAACATTTAATTTGTAAACTATCCATCTATAGTCGTTTTCGATGGAGGCCAATGTGTATGAGTATTGACTTATTTAATATATCTACCAGTGTGTAAGAACTGATAAAGACTAGAGGACTTAGAAGGTCATGAATAATTTCTTAGGATTTTTGTATATTGATTAGATTAGAAGCGTTATTCAGAATAAAACTGAGAAATTATCGGGTTATATTCTGTCGATTTAGCAGCCGCAGCTGCTTGTCGCAAAAATCAGAATGACGAAAAATATTCATTAATCCTGCTAAGATACATATTGACCGAAAACAACCTTGAGCATTTGGAGTTAATCTGATTAATATTGCCCCTTTCAAATACAAGTCCACTTATTTTAGTTATTATCGTATTTCAGTGTTGTGAAGGTACCCTATATAGTGCTGAGTGAACTCTGGCATGTTGACTGACCTCCTTCTGACGCAAGTGAAATATATGCATTAAAAATTTTCTTCTATTCAGCTAAACAACATCAAGTTACTATTATGACACACTATATATTTATTCCTCATTCTTAGTACTTGAATTGTCATGTATAACCGTAGTAATTAAAATAGTCATTTATGTAACCGTCTGTTAAATTTATTTACAGGTTAGTTTCGGATGACTAAATAATAACTTTCATGGATCTGTTTGCTCTGCCTCATTGTTTTAATGCACTGAAGTGTATACGTTGGGTTGATTTTTCAGTATCCAGACTGAGAAAATAGTTTCTCAGACTAAGCTTTTCTTAAATCTGAAGTAAAAATTCTACTTATAACCTAAAACTCTTACTTCTTCCCAATGGGTTGCTATGTTTACAATGAAATCATCCTTCTCATTTGAAACAAAGTTGTATTTTTTACCTTAAGGGAGTATTGTAATTTATTTTATTTGTGATATCTGAGTTTCACCTAACAGCCATAGTTCTGCTTTTGATCCATAGTTCAAGATTCTTGAGCAATAACGAATCAGCTACCCAGTTTTCTAGATTATACTGGTGGGGAATAGGAAATTTCTTGTGATTTCCTTTAATTTCTTCGAAAATTGGACTTCAAGTGCTAGACTTCACTTAAAACCATGTTAAGTTGTACTAGAGAGGTATGCGTGTAAGCCTTCTGCTTTTTTTCTGTACGCATCGTTTACATGATATAGTGGTTTTCTGAAAAAGACTTAATGTTATCCATCACAAAATAGTTGTATTTTAATTAGACTCTATCAGGATGCCCAAATCTTATTTATAGGTATGCCTTGTTAATGGCTGTGATAATAAACCATACTTTTTAGACCAGTCTATAATAATCTATGTTATCATCTATTAATCACAGCGCCCAAATATTTTGGAACTACTCTGTCAAATCTTGACGAGAGTTCATTTGAATTATTTTGCAATCGAATTAAATTAACAAAGAAACTGTGTAATTGGCACAATCATCGTGTTTTCACTCTCGGTTGTCTGCAACAGATTGCATATCCTAAATCCCTAGCTGTCCAGTCACCTGACAACTCCACTAGGTCGAATGAAGCAGCTCAATCTTCAGAAAGTAGGCAAAGCAATAAGTCCGACAGGGTGCTTCTACTAAACGCTAATCCTAAACACCATAATTTTGAAAATACGTCTAATCATAAAATTCTAGATACTAACAGTTTGAACAGACATGAAGGCGTGGTGTTAGCTGATGCATAGGAAATCCTTATTAATAAACAAAAAAATGGATATGTATCACTGATTAATATTATTTGGTCAAAATTCCCGATTGTCTTTATCTTCTTACGGAGACGTTAAGAAATGTTGTACAACTGTTTACCCACACACGCATACACACTCTGTTTAAAGTGTTTCACAAAAGTAGACTAATACTTGAAAGTCTGAGGTCAAATTTTGATCACAGCTCATACAGTTTTGTTTATTATACATGTTAATACCAGTTACATGACTCATGATTGGACAAAGTTTTAAAAAACAAGAGATGTTCCTTTTATATACATAAACCTCTGTTATGTTAATTTCGATTAATTTCCCTGAAGAAGTTCGGACCAGATTGCCGAACGAAACTTTGGAATTAATCATTTCAATCTCGCTGAGATTTTACAAATATAAATTTTTACAAATGTCTACTTCTCACTCGGCGCCCAAATATTTTAGAACTATTCTGTCATTCCCTGGAGGGTTCCTAAAAGACCAACAAACCGGCCACCATGGATAAACAGACAAGCTATAACACTCCTAAGACGGAGAAAAAGGTTCTGGAATCTCTTTGTTTCTATTGGGCTACAGCAGTTCCGGCTGAAATACTGTGAAACCAGAAACCAGTGTAAAACTTTGATTCACCAGTCAAGGATAGCTTACGAAACCCAGTTAGTCAAAAGTTCACCAGGCTGCCCAAAAAGGCTCTTCTCATATATCAAGAGAAGAACACGTAAGAGTGATGCTATCCCACCTCTTATGCTTGAAGATGACCAGACAAACATGGCTGAGGATAACTTGACTAAGGCTGAGGCTTTGTCCAAGCACTTTAGTCCAGTATTCTCTGATAATATTGATACCAGCTTTGTAACTTTTCCAGAAGGTAACTTGAAAATGGCACCCTTATACATTGGAAAGGATACTGTCCTAAAGTGGCTTCTAAGACTCAATCCTGGTAAGTCCAGTGGCCCTGATGAACTCCACCCACGTATATTAACAGCATTGGCTGAAAACATAGCCGAGCCATTGTCGGTAATCTTCAATATGTCTCTAGACCAGTCTAAATGTCCAAGAGACTGGAAAGATGCCATCATTAGTCCGGTCTTCAAAACCGGATCTAGAAACTTAGTTCAGAACTATCTTCCTGTTAGTTTGACCAGTATTGTTGTTAAACTACTACAAAGAATAATTCATGATGCTATCATTCAGTTCATTGAAGGGAACAAACTTTTCGCTGTGGAGCAGCATGGTTTTAGAGCAGGTCATTCTTGCTTGACCAACCTTCTTTCGGCCAGAGAAAGTTGGGCAAGCTCAGCTGATGCTAATATACCGGTGGATGCCATATTCATCGACCTTAGCAAGGCTTTTGACAGGGTTTCTCATCCAGGTCTTCTGGTAAAGTTAGGTAGTCTGGGAATCAACAAAGTAGTTGCCGACTGGATTCAAGACTTTCTAAAGGATAGAAGACAAAGAGTACGAGTTAACGGGGTTTTATCAACATGGCAATCGGTTAAGAGTGGCGTTCCTCAGGGTACAATTCTAGGCCCACTTCTTTTCCTGACTTATGTTAATGAGATTCCATCGGTAGTTAGGTCATCCTGCTTACTGTTTGCTGATGACATCAAGATATGGAGGGCTTTACACGATGACAGTGATCAACTTGCTTTGCAGGAAGATTTAAACTTGTTAAGTGATTGGTGTAAGCACTGGGCCTTGGAGATTAACTTAAGCAAGAGTGTAGTTATGCATGTATCTCATAGTCACGTGCACAATTACTCAATCAATGGCATTACTCTCCCAGTGGTCACTGAGTACAAGGACTTGGGAGTGGTTGTGCAGTATGACTTGAAAACAGCAACAAACTGTAGAGCTGCAGCCACTAAGGGTTTTCGAATATTATGGGCCATACGCAAAGCTTTTGCGAATTTTGACGCTGAAATATTTCGTATATTATATCCGACTTATATTAGACCTCATTTGGAATATGGAATCCAGGCAGCGAGCCCGTGTTTCAAATACGAAATAGACTTATTAGAAAGGGTGCAAAGAGTAGGAACCAAGCTAATAAAGGGTTTCTCAACCCTCTCATATGAAGAGAGGTTAAGTCGACTGGGTTTATTTCCACTGTCATACAGACGACTTAGGGGTGACCTAATACTAGCATACCGTATCCTAAGAAATGATTTTGGAGCAAATTTATCTAACTTATTTCTTCCTTTTGGCACCAACCAATTGCGAGGACATCACCTCAAGGTTCAAAAACCACGGTCGAATCGTCTGCGTTTGGAGATCCGTTTTTCACATCGGATTGTGAACCCTTGGAACTCCCTACCGGAACACGTCGTATCAGCGCCATCCGTTGATTCATTCAAGGCGAGACCGGACCTCCTGTGTGTAACAAATCGAAAGGATTAACACAGGCATATAGCCTACTATCCTAAATAAATTGTAAACTGTAAACTGTAAATCTTGACGACAGTTCATTTGAAATATTTATCACTGTTTGTCATTTCTATGGTAAAAATTAGCCCCATTCACGGCACTGCCGGGGAAGTACTACGGCACTACTACTATAATTTCCGTATAATAACTCAAGTTGATCCTTATTTCGCTCATTTACGGGTTGAAAAAGATCACTACGGTGTTTTGACTTTGGTCATGGTTTTGGAATAAAATCACACCACCTGAGGTTAGACGGCAGTATTGCACTATACATAGTTTGGTTGTTTT